AGTGGATTTCAGTCATCACTGAGGTCCAGCTGCTTCTGGACTGAAATGGAGCAGCTGTTTAACTTTCAAGATGCTGGCCAGTCCTCCAGAAACGTGGTACACCATTGCAAGCACTATCGGAAGTTACCTCTCACTCCGAGTGCCTCGACCATTGTACAGAGTGAGGTGCTGCACACCTATAACCATAGGCGTTCGGTAACCTAGGTGGGGGAAGGCTTTGTCTTCCCAAACCACCAGGCATGGCCTTGCCCACACTCTACCCCCAGAATACCTGCACTAGGTGTTCTTGGGGAGGAGTGTTGCTACCCCCGGTGCGCACTCAGGCTCCCCGTGCTCCTGGCCAGGAAGGCTGGAGCCACATGGCCTCCTCCCTCCCTGGTGCTGGGACAGCACTGCACACCCTCCTCCCTCCCCGGGTGCACCAGGGAGGTTGGGAGGCGAGCATGTGCTTGCCCCTCCTGTCTCTCTTCCCATCCCCGGGTGGGGTGGGGTCACAGCAAAGGGGGCAGGGTTATAGGTGATGCTGGGGGCCTGCCAGGGTAGGCCCACATTTTGGCACCTGAGGCGGGGAGCTCAAATGACGCCCTCATATCCCCTTGCCTGGACCGAAACTTAGGGGCTCCTTCCTCCAGCACAGCACTCCACTATCTCTGTGCATCTAGAGCAGAGAGAATACAGATGCACCAGCAGCAGACACAATTTTCTACACTCTGGGTCCTAGTGGCGTTCCCTCAGAGTCTGGCACCCGAGGCGGCCGCCTCAGTTTGCCTCATGGTAAGGCCAGCCCTGGGGCCTGCCTCCCCCAGCTCCAGCTGCACCAACCACCCATGCCTATAACTGAAGTCAGTGGTGTGATGTGGAGAGGGAGGAGAGACCATGCTTACCCTTACACTCATCCATAGGATACTAGAGAAAGAGTGGGGCTGTAATGCTTTTAAAGCATGGCTGTAACACACCTCTCCCATCACTACAGAACTCGGTACAGTTGCTTTTGGGGCGGGGAAGGGGGGTCTGACCCTCAAACACTGCAGTTTCAAATTATTACATCATAGTTAGTCGCGACTAGCTTTTATTTTAAAACTATCTTGACAATCCTGTAATTATCAATCTGTTCCAGAGAGTATGAAACAGAAGAGTTTGTGGCTGAGAGCCACTGTAGCATTCAGGGACTTACAACCAACAGAGGGAAACTGTAAGGATGCCAAGAAAAGGACTTTAAAAGCTGGGACTAGAACACAGCCTGCATTGTGTCCTGGGAATTTAGGTTTCCCTGAGACTCATGTAGAAATGGCTGGAACATGGATCTGCTAGGGAAGTTTGTTATAGCAACATTCCAAGGAGAAATAGTTTTATCTGTTACTTTAAATTTTTTTTTATTTTCAACTCTACATTTCTGTAAGGTCAGCGGAAGAGAGTAGCTGTGCTTGTTGGCGCTAGCTTTTACTCATAAAAGATACCAGTGTGTTGAATCATAAATTGAAGAGAAATTGGGTTATATGAGTAAAGATCAACACTACACAGCAACACTACATAGTAGTTTAAGACGAGAAGCGAAGAGCTATGTCCAGAGCTGAATCCTGAGGGCATGCAGTTGCCTAAGATGGAAAATGGTCAGGATATGCCAGCCAACACCACCTCTCATTTAATACACTATTTAGGGATGGTGGTAGAGGACTTGAAGCAGGTTGGGTTTCTCAGTTCCTGGTCATTCTTCAGCTTCCTGTTTCTTAGGCGATCATATTTTCACACCCCCTGCCCTTTTAGCGATTCTCCCTCCATTTGACTTTATCTTACACACATTTATGGTTTTGGTCATGTCATCAGTCAAGGAATTTCCCATAATCTTCTAGGAATGAGAGAGAGTCTCAAATAGCTTCTGTTAGCAGCAGCCATGGCAGAAATATTCTGCCCACCTCCCCTGAGAGGGGAGGGCAGTGTGCCCACAGCAGCTTTTAATATATTCGTCAACACCAGACAGGTTCTGATTAACCACAGATGTGTCTTCCACTGGAGTGTAATGATTAGGTCCATCCATCCTTTCTATCACTGCATGCTCCCTTCCAAACAAATCTCATCAGTCAGTTATCCTCCCATTAGACCTTTATCAGACAGCATTTAAACTGTCACTTGAAATCAGCCACATTGCGTCTGTTATTGGCATTTCCACTTCTCTTTCCAGTTCTGAGTTTCAAATTGATGAACCTCTGTTATCATTGTATGTATTCTCCTACTGTGACCTCAGAACCCGTAGCCCATTCTCTTGTATTCACACAGCTCATGATTAACCTCTTCTTCTTTCTTCTCCCCTTGCTTAGGGCTCTGTTCTGGCTTTCAGTGTTGTGCAAGCAGCAAGCTGAGTGGGATGCAGAGGCTATTCAGGCCATAGCAGAAGTGCCTGGAGGCATGACTCAGCCAGAATGCCTCTGGCAGTAATGATCAGCAGGCACTACAATACCTGTTTAGAGAATGAAGCATGTGCTCTCCCGTTGTCTTTGGCCCTGCTTCACTAGCCCATTGTCGAAGGTTCACAACATGGGCTGTGCCTCTCACCCATTTAATGAAAAACCTTGGATAATGTCAAAAATATTGTGGCAAATTATGTTTGACATTAAGCAGGTATGTCTGAGTAATTAGGCCCTTAAGTCATGTAAGAACAGTCTGACTAGACTAACTGCAGCCTTCTGTCCTGTCAACTGACTGCTGGAATTGGAACTCAAATGCTTTCCTCCTTAATTTACCCCTTGGCAATGATGATTTTACATTTTAACATAGCATCTTGTGTCCTAACAGTTCTCAAAGCACTTTACAAATTGAAACCAAGACACAGGCTATTCATAGGGGAGTGCTTAATCTACAGCTGAAATGCAACCATCTCCAGGATGAAAACAACAAAGTTTTCAGTAGCACAAAAACAACATTACACAACAGGCTAGGAAAGGAAGAGAAGGGTGCCTTTTCCAGGGGAAACTGTGTGGGGAGTGTTAGGTAGGTGGCATGTAGTAGAATTTTGGTCAGGACGCTGGGTGACCTTTACCTGCCTTTATTTGTATAAGGAGTGGCAAGCATTCTGGTCTTCTCTGTCTCTGAAAAATTGTACTTACAGTTGCATGGGGCTTCCACACACCTTGCTAATATTGGCTCTCAGAGAAGAATCCCACATCTCATTTATCACCATTACTCTTTGCAGCACTTCCTTGGAGTAGGGGTCAGAAGTTACCAGTGTGGTGTCCTGAAAGGTCTCTTGCTCTGTCCAATGATGATAAATGTTTGGGGGGGGCGGGGTGTGTGTGTGCTCCTGTATGTTGCACTGGATTTGTGCAAGTAGCCAGCACAGCAGACTCTGTAATGGTCCCCCCAAGGACCATGGAATGAGATAAGGTTTGAAGTCACCTGAGTCAAGTTTATTGTCCAACGAAGCACAGTAATAGTTGCCAGCAGATGCTCCTGAACCACTCTGCATATGTACCACCTGACAATAGACTCAGCTCAGTGAGTGGCATGTCCCACTCCGCTGAGGCTGGATAAAGAGTTATGTCAAAGTCCCCCAACATTTATAGACTGAGACAAACAATCTTTAATACATACCTATGTATCATCATTCGTGCTTCATGACATGTTTATTACCTCCCCTTGTATTTTCCTCCAAAGCATTCCAATTCACCACCTGTAATTGTGCTTTCACTCCTGATGTTTGACAAAATAGCACTATTCATCACTTTTGTCAAACTGTTTTATCCTGTGCTAGGCTGTGGTGTGCCCTGTATCAGAGGCAGCAAGGGTGGCAGGCAAGGATCAGGTGGCTCTCTGGGAGCCTGCACATACAGGGAGCTGGCTTCCTGCATGTACCGGTTCCCACCTCTTCCCCCCTCCCCCCAGACACACACTCCCATGCTGCTGCCTGTCTATCAGAAACAGCAGTGGTGGGGGAGGCGGCTCCATGGGAGCTGGTGTCCATGGGGAGCTGGCTTTTAACCCTGCCCCTCCACACTTCTTCCTTTGTGGGGACCCAGAGGTGGGGGGAGCTCTGTGGGAACCAGTATGCACAAAGAACCAGTTTAAAAGCTGGCTCCCCGTTTATACCGGCTCCTGCTTGCCCTGCTGTGTCTAAATATGTAACCGCTAAAAAAATCCAGCGGTTACACGTTTATACAAATATAAGTTTATTAACATCCCTAATAACAAATGGTAGAGCTTACAGACAGCTTAAAAAAGTAATGAGTCATGTAACAGCTATATGTCTGTGTTTGCATTATGTGGGGGGTAATTAGATCTGCTGTTCATTTCTTTTTCCTGGTTGATTTAGTGGTGCATTTTGTCATTTCAGTGTTTTGTTTCTGTGATTAGTTAACCTACACCAAAGAGGGGAACCTTTTTTGGGTCTGGGGCCGCTGACTCACAGAAAAATGAGTCGGGGGCTGCACACATGTCAGAAGCAAAAAAATCCAACCAAACACTCTCTGAAGTGGCCCCCAACTGAGGAGGAGAAACACACTCCCCACATTCCCCTCGCACACCACAGCATAGAGGGACCCAGGCTAGTAGATTTTGTGTGCTCCAGCCTTTGGGGGGGGGGGTGAGCACTGAGCCTCAGGGGCAGGACTCGGGCAAGCCAGGGACTACAACCGTCCCCTGGGGTCTTAGGTTCCCCACCCCTGATCTACTCCTTTTTTCAGTCAGTAAATCTTATATCTTTGGGTAGGTTATTTCCTATGGTTGCCTCTGGAAGCCCCTAATACTAAAACTGAGGTTCTTCCAAGGGTGCATGTGCTGCCATTTTCCTGCTAAGCCATGCTTATATTATACAGTTTGCAATGGGGTCAGGTTTGTTCCGACATGTGGAGATACCTTATAAATAAACTGCATGATATATATTATTTTATTTGCTGGCAATTAAACAATAGCTCTTGCAGACTTGCACGCACAAAACTTTGTCCCGTGCAATGCGAGGATGCCAAAGGGCCAACATTTGTAAAATGCAAGGTGTGTGTAGTCTACGTGTTAACAATACTCAAAGGCTAAAGATGTAAATTATTTTTTAATGACCATGACAAGAACAGAACAGCCACATGGATTTCTATTTGTAATTATTTTAACACCAGAAAAGAGATCTGATGCCCTAGATGAAGCGTATTGTTGGGGCAAGGTAGCATAAAGCTGCACTGAAGTTTGATGTAGCCATTATGAAAATTACTACTGACGTGAGGCATCGTTAGCAGTTTGGGAAGCTGTCAGGAACTTGCTCGTATGCTGAATGTCCCCCACCAGACTTGCCATCTGGTTGCCAATGGTTTGCAGCTGCTGGGCCACATTGCCTATGTCCTCTCGCAATCCCAGAACTGCATTTTTTATCTCCTCCAAAGTGCCCATGGCTTTCTGTGTAGTGTCCATCTTAAATGAGCTTCCAGCAGGAGGCATACTGGGACTAACCACCATGTCTATATTCTGCAGAGGAACTGCCCCCCAGCTCCCACCAGAAATGCGGAGAGTTCTGCTCTCATAACTGTTTCCTTTGCCAGGGCAACTTCGTGAATTGTCTGGAAGGAGATTCAGGATGCTAGTGTTTTCACTCCCTTCTTCCTCAGATCTTTGACAAGAAAAAGGTTGTGTAACCCTGTCTTTGAGATCATTAAAGAAAACAGAAGAAGAGATCTTGTGAGGTGAAGACAAGCTGAAAGGTCCATGGGATGGGACACGGTTAGGGTGAACTATGTTCTCTGGAACAACTGAATCGGGAGATGAGATGGAAAAGGTGGAAAAAGAAGAAGTTGTTGCCATGGAGCTGGTTGAATCTAAAATGTAGGTAAAAGAGAAACAAAAAAAGAAAATGATACAGTCTTTGTGTAACATTAATGTTAGTAGCAGTAAATTATTATACTAAATAGTATTTATACTAGATAGTACCTGAAGCCCCGATTAAGCCCTGGGGTCCTATCGTGCTGCATGCTTGAGACACAGAGAAAAGTGACAACTCCTGCTCTAAATGGCTTACCGTCTCAATATGCAAACAGTAGAGCTGTTAGGAAAATGGGGTGGTTTCCTGTGGAAAATTTGTATTTTTGTCAGATCACTTTCTTCTTAAGATTTTCTTCACAAGATTTTAAAAAATAACATATTTTGAGTTATTTCATTGCCTTCTAGCTTTTGAACCATTGGTATTCACATGTTTAAACCTTTTTTCCATAGCCATAAGGGCTAGAAGTATCCTTTCAGAAAATGAAGACTGAGATTGTTGTCTAACAATACTCCAGGAGCTGGGGCTTTAAGATAAAAGAATTAACAACACTGGAGTTGATATCTGCATTCATGTGCAGTATGACTACGGTCTCTCTCAGGGCACCTCCACAATGTGTGGAAATAAATGTAATTTTCAAGAAAATCACAAGTGACTATATAGTTCCTCTTCTGAAGAGGTGAATTCTGAGCTGACCCTGTGTTTTGCAGGACTTCAGCAATTTCTGTAGCCTATTTATAGTGTTTAGCAACTTGATAAAAGCTTGTGGTGACTGACACTAAGGGTGGGGGGGGGAATTTCTTCAACAACTGATTAGGTTTGTAGGATAGGATGGTTGCTACTGGAGAGACTTGAAGTGTTCATCTTTTGGGGAGGAGAGGCACAGAAAGGAGAGTTCATGGAGCAGTGCTGCCAGAGAAGAGCTGCCAAAAAACAAAGCCCCTAAATGGCTGACCAAACATGTAGCAAATGTTCAGGAGCAGCCACGGGTGAAATGTTTCCCAGAATATGTATTCAGTTGCTGTGAAATTGATATTTAACAAATAAGTACACAAGCATTATATGTAACATTCAGAACACATGCTGTACTTGAAACACAACCCAAATAGCTCTAACTCTTGCCTGACTCCGCTTTTACAAGCCAAAAAGCACCTACAAAAACATCCAGCATGGTGCTCAGTTATAACAGACAAATGTTCAGTTTTACAGTGGGATCAGCCACTTATTTCAAAATTCATGGGACATTTCATGATTTTTCACACATGACTTGAGAGCACAGAGCTTGTAGGACAAGTAGAGAGTATAGGTCTGACACATCCAGGCCCCACACCTTACAATGACATTATGCTGAAGGTTAAATCCTCAGATGGGCCAAAGTAATACCTCTTAGGATACAGTGGAAGTTAGTTGTATGGCAGTAGTCTCCAACCTTTTTAAGCACAAGATCACTTTTTGAATTTAAGTGCAATCCAAGATCCGCCTCAGACCCAAATACCCTTTCCCTGCCTCCTTTGTGCCCCTTCTCTGAGGCCCTGCCTCTGCTCCCTCCCTTTCACCAGGCAGGCTCTGGTCTTGGACTAAAGGATTAGGAGTGGGGCTCTGAGCTGAGCTTGGGTCTTGGGCTGAAAAGGGGGTACATAATTGGGGCAGGTGATTGGAACTGGCTCCAGCTGGACACTGCTTACCACAGGTGGCTCCTGGGTGGTGGTGCAATGGGGCTAAGGCAGGATCACTCCTGCCCTGGCCCTGTACCACTCTCAAAAGCAGCCAGCAAATTCCCTCCCTCCCAAGCCCTGTTGTGCCCGCTCTCTGCTCTGTGGAGAGAGAATACAGGAGGAGAGGGGGCACCCTGACATAAGCACCCCATCTCTCCCTTCCCTGCTCTGTACTGCAAGCAGGAGGCTCCCAGGGCGGGGCAGCTCCAAGGCAAAGGGCAGGAGATGGGCAGCAGTGGGGGGAAGGGCAGCTGAAGTGCTGGCACTTGATAGCCTGTTGGCCATCCAGTCAGAATCACCTGTCAGAGGCTCCAAGATCTACCAGTAGCTCCCAATCTACTGGTTGGTGACCACTGTTGTATGGCAACTTTTCAGTTGTCATCCCTTTCCTAGGGCCACCTGGAGCTTGTTTAGCCCCTGGAGTAACTTAGACCATCCCAGAAGCTGCTCTAAGTTATACCCATTTGTAATAGTCCCAGAGTTCATTACACTACCTGAGGATCACCAGAGTGCAGCATGTCCCCCCAATTAAGGTTTGGGAAGGAGAGGGCTATGTAATGCTAGCTAGAGGGATCCTCAACTGTCTTTTTAGAAAAGCTTTATATCTTCACTGTGCTGCCAGATTGCCAAAAAGGAGCTGTATGATGGGCCATGACTTAAGTTCCCTCTAAGCTGTGCAGCTGCACAGCAGGGTCTAAAAAGTCATGCAAAAGTGCAGCTAAAGGAGCCTGGAAAAGAGAGGTAAGGGACCAGCAGGAAGGGGAGCAAGTTAGGAGCTGCTGCCAGTGGGAAGAGGACTGGGGGGAGTCCTCTGGCTCCAACCCCTGAGCCCACACCCTCAACCAGAGCCCTCACTCCCCCCCCCACCTCAATTCTCTGCTCCAGCCTTGAGCCTCTACCCTGCCACACATCATCTCCATATTGGTGCACATAACAAAATTCATTCCACACATGGATATGAGAAAACAGAGGGAATGTTAACCATGATCTAGCACTCAGTCTTCACTCTGTGACATTTTACTGATGCCTAATATCATTGCATCACTGTGCACTGGTTCCCCCTCCTGTGTGAAAAAGCAAATAGGAGGCAATTATTTTCTCCTGAAGGATAAAAATAAAAAAGATGGAGTGTCACAAATAACTATGAGTTCTTAAAGGAGCAGTTTAACAGATTTTTTGCCTTCAGCTACAGATAATATTTTGATTATATCTATACACCATTATCTAAAACATAAACACACATGTAATTTCACATTAAGAGTTCTTTTCTTGCAAAATCTCCATGTACAATCAATAAGAGTCCTTGGTGTCTGACTCTGTCACCAAACAAATCAGACTAAAGAAAATAAATTATTTTTCTGGGATGCAAAGATTCTCCGCTTAATTGCTGTTTCCACGAGTAACTGACTTCCTCTTCTATTCTGAAAATATGTAGTTTCTCTTTGGTGGCATCAGTTTTCTAATTTGGCAGTAGTGATGCTTTATTGGAGTAGAATTTTTTCTTGTAGAGATTCTACTCTCTTCATGGTAGTCACTTTCACCTTAGGATGTAATCCACTTTGTTTCCCATTCTCCCCAAAACAATTATATGCACAGAATACTAAAATTCATCTGGCTCAGTGATGTAGACCAGTGTTTCTCATAGTGGTCCACAAAGCCACTTTGAGAAACCTGCTAACAGGCCATGTCAGTGTGTTTGTTTGCTGGTTCCGTGGTCATGGAACCTCACAGCTCCCATTGGTTCTAGTTTGCTGTTTGCAGCCAAGAGGAGCTGCGACACTCCATGGCCATGGACCCAGTAAATAAACACACTGGCACGGCCAGTTAGCAGGTTTTCTCAGAGTGGTTTAGTGGACCACCTTGAGAAACATTGATGTACCCTGAGTATATATTGTCTGGCAGAGATGGATTCTAGAGAGGTGAGCTGTTCTTCACTTGCTAGGGACTCAAGCACTGTGCAAGCAGCGCACACAGCCCCTAGGGCTGGGGAAAGAATACCATACTGGAATGGCATGGGTGGACTCTGGAACTTAAGAGGCCAGCCTCCTCAGCCAGAACAATAACAGCCTCCATGGGCCCCTGGACAAGGTGGGAGGGTAGTCTCACCCTGGAAGGGGCAGGGCCTATGATGGAGGTGGTGGAGCCAGGGCTACCAGCCCTCAGTGGAGCCTGGAGTGCAGCGCTGCCCCAGCCCGGGTCTGAGACTAATTTGATGGTTGAATTGCTTTGAGTACTCCTAATTCAACTCAACTACTTAGTTACTTAGGGTATGTCTACACTACCACCCTAGTTTGAACTAAGGTGGTTAATGTAGGCATTCGAAGTTGCAAATGAAGCCTGGGATTTAAATATCCTGGGCTTCATTTGCATCTTGCCGGGGTCCGCCATTTAAATCCCCGGTAGTTTGGACTCCGTGCCCGCGGCTACACGTGGCACGGACTAGGTAGTTCGAATTAGGCTTTCTAATTTGAACTACCGTTACACCTCATTCCACAGAGTCCGAACTAGCGGGGATTTAAAAATGGCGGTGCCCGGCAAGATGCAAATGAAGCCCAGGATATTTAAATCCTGGGCTTCATTTGCAACTTCGATTGACTACATTAACCATCCTAGTTCGAACTAGGGTGGTAGTGTAGACATACCCTTAGATATTTGATAACTCAACTCCTTTGATTAGCCAGGCCCCATGGCAGTTGTCCTATTTGGTCTGCTTCGAGATGTTACCAAAGGTTGGCATTTTTGTTTACATTTTTAAGACCTGAGAATGTTTCTTTGTGTACTACATTTTATAAAACTAAACAGGAAAGTCTCAGAAATGCCAATTTTAAATTTTAAAACATCTGCTTTCAAAAACAATTGACTTTATCAGCAAATGAAAAGCATTTGTTGACACATGCCCTAACTAAAACAGAGGCAAGTCTCAGAACAATAGACAAAAAAAAAAAAAAAAAAGTCCTGGGGCACCTAAGAGACTAACAGATTGATTTGGGCATAAGCTTTCATGGGTAAAACTCACGTCATCAGAAGAATTGGAGTGGAAATTATAGAGGCAGGTGTGTGCATGTGTGTGATTATTTATATATATAACTAAATTAAATAAAGAAAAGAAGGAAGTTACTTTTCAAGTGCAGAGCTACTGTTAATGAGGCCAATTAAGACAGGGTGTCTGTAACTCACTCACAGCAATTGTTGAGGAGGGAGGGAAATTGTCTTTGTAGTGAGAGAATCAATTTAAATTCTTATTCAGTCCTAATTTGAGTGTATTGTATTAATTTGCAAATTCAATGCAATCAAATTAGGAGGGAATACAGATTTAAATTGATTCTCTCACTACAAAGACAATTTCCCCTCTCTTGGTATTCACATTTCCCCATCAGCTGCTGTGAGTGAGCCACATCTACCCTGATGACCTCATTAACACTGGTCTTATACTTGATAAATAACTTCCTTTTTTTCTTCTATATATACTCCTGTCTCTGTAATTTGCATTCCAACTCATCTCATGAAGTGGGCGTTACCCACAAAATCTTATGCCCTAATGAATTGGTTAGCAAAGGTGCCACAGGACTCCTTGTTGTTTTTGTAAAATAGAGGCAATTATTCCTTCTCTAGTCCCATATTCTACATTCAGTGGTTTCTTCTGACATCCAAAGTTTTCACAGGTGTGACCACAAGATTACTGGCTCCTCACATTGTCTGTTTAGACAGAACTTCTCAGATGAGAGGAAAACAAAGGGGTTGCATGTGTCTCTCTCTCTCTGGTAAAAAAAAAAAAAAAGTCACAGGGCTAGCTAGGGACTAGAGATGGGATAAGGAATCTTTCCTGTCTAAATCTCTAGTTTCAGATATACTTAATTACTATCTAATGGCTTTTCAATGGCTTTGGTGAAGTGAGGTTGTGGTCTGTCTCCAGCCCCTAATAATGGAGTTGATGTGGCCCTCTTGTTGAAGCCAAGCAGTAAATGGGCAATGCAGACTGAATCCCCTTATGATCAGATTTGAATAGTGGAGGGGGAACTGGGGAAAAACTTGTTCCAACATGAACTATGCTGTATATATTCTGAGAGTAACTGGAGAATTTCAGTCCCCAGCACTGATAATCCAGCACTATGCAACAGCACTAAATTTGCTTACATTATATACAGACTACTGCATTTTCAAAGGCTTTGTTAAAGATGCTTGTTACCACTTCCAATATGTTAGATTTTTTTCCTTGGCTTGTAGTATCTAATACCGAATATGAAAATATGAAGGAAAGATGTTACTTAAGTTCTGGATAATATTAATCTAACCTCCATTTAAATAGCTCTGAACATTTAGTATTGTGTTAGCCCTAAGTGACAGCAAGAATGCCTGCAGCACAGAGGAGGCATTGATAGCTTTTTTTCTTAACACCTTTTAAATTTTGAAGAGCTAACATCCTTAGCCGAGTGCTGTCACTACAGCATGCATGTTTTGCAAGAGCTACAAAGAGGATGTGGGCTGGGAGAGGAGGTAACAAAGAAAGCAGCAGGCAAATTAGACACTTGTCTTTCATTAAGACATGGAATGTACAAACTCACCTGGCCTTGGGGAGAGATGGAAACTCGTGTTACATGTCTGCATGTTACCAGGTGTGGAGGAATTGAAGTTTAGCATGGTGGTTGTACTAGGTCCAGGGAATTGTTTAGAAGCTGGGGTTGGTTTAAGAATCTCGCTATTTGCCACACAGCTCCCTAAAGGATCAAAGATAGTGAAGGTAGGGGAGAGGTAAAGGGTCTCCACAGAAGCTACACTTCTAGAGGGCGGAAAGTCTGACTTTGGGACATGTTGGTTGGGTGTGGCAGGCTTTTCTAGAACCGATAACTGAAGATCAAGCAAGACTTCTGCAAAGTCGGGAGTGTTTGCTGACTGCATCCTTGAAGGAGGCCTAAGAGTGATTGTGGAAGGAGGATTTGTGACTGTGCTGTCTGTTCTCCTGGCTGTGCCCCATTTTTGTGAAGTACATACGCTTCTCTGTGATGGGTAGGATATGATACCTGTAAGGCAAAAAGCAAGAATGTCACAGAAAAGGAGCTGCATCTTGGAGAGGACAGATAATATTATTAATACAGTGCCTAGTTCTAAAATAGTACTTGTCAGCAGTAGATCCCAAAGTGTTTTACAAAGGAGGTCAATTATCCTCATTTTACAGCTGGGAAAACTGAATACAGAGTGGGGAGGTGACGTACCCAAGATTACCCAGAAGGCCAGAGCTGGAGATAGAACCAACTCTCCTAAATCCTAATCTAGTGCTCTATCCCCTTAGCCAGGCTGCCAAATTAATCACAATTGCAGTGGCAATAACGTTTAGCACTTTCCAGCCATCTATTTCAAAATATCTTACCAGGGTATGTCAGTACAGCATCTTCCTTTTCACAGAGAAGTTAGTGGGACCCAAAGAGGTTAAGTGACTCTTTTGATCTTACACACAGTGAGTCAGTGGCAGAGCTGGGACTTTCTTCTGTCTGTCTAATTATTACATCCCATTACATGTAACCATACATTACTAATCCTAAGCATTTTACATATAATTCGAAAGTTAAGACTCAAACCATAAAATGTAATCTTGATGATCTGATGTAAGTTATGGTGATTGTGTGAAAGACGGGCGAACACTCCTGAAATCCTTATATGGTAAATTCTGTTACTTTAAAAATGGTTAATAACGGTTAATTCAGCTAAACATGTAGAACATTTTGCAACAGTTTTTGAAAGTCTCTCTTTGCTGTGCATTCAAAATGGCATCTGCATTCCAGTGTCTTAAGCCAAACTTGGGGGCACCTGGTTCCCCTAAAGCCTCCCCAAGACACTAGCACAGGTGAGGAGGGGAGGCTTAAAAACAGGTTTCCTCCTCAGAGGAGCAGAGCTGACAACAAAATAGCATTGGCTCCAGAGCAGCCTTCAGAAATCTAATGGCCTTGTGAATTCATCTAGACTTCTATTTTCTGCAGCGTGGCAATGTGCATGGGGAAGAGGGATGGAGATGGTTGTGTGCCTACACACACACATACACGTGATCAATCTATCTAGAGAGAACCTTCTTGGTGAATTGGAGCTCAGTTGTTTGGTGGAAAGGAACTGGGTGCTATTTTTTTTAAGTTTATAAAGAAAAATGGTTCTGTTGTAGAGATAAAGCTAAAATAATAGAATTAAACATAAGGGAAGACAGATGAGGAAGGACACAGGGGGCCACTGGCCACATGACTGCCCCTCCATGACTCCTCCCTGTGCATCCTTGAACTCAGGGTTTCCTAACCTATGGATCGGGCCCCAAATATGGGTCACCGTTACATTTCAAAAGGGTCACCTTCGTCAGGTTTCTCCCCAGGTGGCTCTTAAGGAGCCAGTCACACATTTTTTGAATTGCCCTGGGTCAACAAGTCTGCCTGAATTGTCAAAATGGGTCCCCATCTGGAAAAGATTGGGAACCGCTGCTCTAGCTCCTTTGCAACAGTCCCTGCCTCTCCCCACCCCTACCCCAACTCTCCCTACCCTGCTTCTTCCCTGCAATTTCCCCTCCCCCCAAGTAATACCACGTAGGGGACTAGCAGGGGCCTGGCACCAGGGCCAGGGATTGCCCCCCCACACACACACCCATATACACACTCACTGGCAGTGGTGGGGACCAGGGAAGTGGAGCAATGTGTCCACAGCCTGTTCACTTCCCCAGCTGCCGGCCACGTCATTCTACTTCCTGCAGGTGAGGTCCTGCTTCTTCCCCCAAACAATGTGACGAGAAGCCAGGAGAGCAAAGCCAAACTGCTCTGCATCCCCCTGCCACTGGCAGTGAGTGTGGGGGGGAGGGCTCAATCCCTGCTGTAGGTGCTAGGCACCCACTATTCCCCCGAGCTAAGGCACTCACTGTTCCCCCGAGCCACCAGAGGCTCTGACCCCTTATACTATGTTACTGGAATGTGCCATTCATCACCAGGATCATCTACTTGGACCCCTCCTTCCATTCTTCCTCTGTATTTGTGCCTCTTAGGGCCCAACTTTGCGAACATGACTTATGTCATTTCACTCAGACCAGAATTAAGGTTGAAAAATCTAAACTTCCTTACATAGTTAATATAGTCTCGGGGGTAGCTGTGTTAGTCTGTATCTGCAACAAGGAGTCCTGTGAACCTTAGAGACTAACAGATTTATTAGGGCATAAGCTTTTGTGGGTGAAACCCACATCGCCAGATGAATTGGAGTGGAAGTTACAGAAGCAGGAGTGTATATAAATAAAAGAAGCTAATCAAGTCAGGTGTAAGTGGGTCATTCATAGCATTTGGAGATGTGAATATTCAGAGAGGGGAAATTGCCTTTGTAATGCATTAATTAGTTGAGATCCTTACTCAGCCCTAAACAGATAGTGTTGAATTTGGCGATGAATTCCAGTTTAGATATCTCCCTTTGTAACCTTTTTAAAAAATTCCTTTGTAGAAGGCTGGTTACGTTCAAATTCATTACTGAATCCATTGCTGAATGTCCAGAGAGGTTAAAGTGTTCCCTGCAGGTTTATGTGTGTTATCATTCCTGATGTATGATTTGTGTCCATGTATCCTTTGGCGCAGAGACTGTCCAGTTTCGGCAGTATACATGACTGGCACTTACTGGCATGTATCACATTAGTGGATGTGCAGGTTGATTAGCCTCTGATGTTGTGGCTTATGTGGTTAGGTCCTGTGATGATATCGCTTGTATAGGTATGTGGACAGAGTTGGCAACAGGGCTTGTTGCAGAGATAGATTCCTGGGTAAGTGTTTTTGTGGTATGTTATGTGGCTGCTGGTAAGTATTTTCTTCAGGGTGGGGGGCTGTCTGTAGGAGAGGATTGGCCTGTTTCCCAAGGTCTGTGGGAATGAGGGATCATTTTCCAGGACTGGCTGTAGATTGTCAGTGATGCACTGAAGGAGGTTTAGCTGGGGGCTGTAGGTGATGATTAGTGGTGTTCTGTTATTTTCCTTGTTGGGTCTGTCCTGAAGCAGGTGACTTCTGGGTACTAGTCTAGCTCTGTCAATCTGTTTCCTCACTTCCCCAGGTGGATATTTAAGTTTTAAGAATGTTTAATAAAGATTCTGTAGGTGTTTGTCTCTTTCTAAGGGATTGGAGTAGAGGTGGATTTATCTTAGGATTGGGCTGTAGACAGTGCATCATGTGACGTGTCCTGGATGGAAGCTAGAGACATGTAGGTAAGAATAGCAGTCATTAGGTTTCTGGTATAGGGTGGTGTTTATATAACTATCATTTATTTGTACTCTAGTGTCCAGGAAGTGGATCTTTTATGTGGATTGTTCCAGGCTCAGGTTGATAGTGGGGTGCAAACTGTTGAAATCCCAGTGGAATTCTTCAAAGGCTTCCTTTCCATGGGTCCATATGATGAAGATGCCATCAATGTAGCACAAGGAGAGGAGGAGTGCTAAGGGAAGGAAGCTGAGGCAATGCTATTCTAGGTCAGCCATAAAAATGTTGGCTTATTGTGTGGCCATGCAGGTACCCATAGCTGTGCCACTGACTTGAAGGTATAAATTATCCCAAAAATCAGAAATTGTTGTGAGGACAAAGTTACATAGCTCCACCACCAGGTGTGCCTTGGCATCATCCGGGATACTGTTTCTGATAGCTTGTAATCCAATCTCCTGTGGAATACTGGTGTAGAGAGTGTCTACATCCATGGTGGCCTGAATGATGTTTTCAGGAAATTACTGATGCACTGTAGTTTCCTCAGGAAGTCAATGGTGTCTCGAAGATAGTTAGGTGTGAGTCTTAGATTCACAAAACTGTTTGGGTGTAAGAACAGTTCAGGGAGGGAGAGAAGTTAACCCTTGCTTTTCATAGAGCAGTAGAAGTTCTTCAGCATAATGTCCCTTCCCTTATTACTCTTACTATCACACTTTAGGATCATGTCCCAGTGCAATTTGAGGCCTGTTCTCTGAGCATTCGCCAGAAGGAGTTCAGGGAAAATTTCTTCAGGTGATCTTGAAATGCTTCTAGCTGCTAGAATATGGTTCTGCCCAATTTGTACAGTGGGAGTGCTGAGAGCCATTGAACCAAAATACAAATCCTGTATATAATGAAAACCACTGCAGACAAGGGGTGTAGCAGCACCCCCGACACCTGTAATTCTAGCACCCATGGTTCTGGGCTGCACATGATTCTCACATGCTACTGCCCCTCTAAGATATAAATCTCTTTACTCCCTCTGCTTCTTGATTTCTCTCTTTTTGATATCTCCACTTTCCTGTTGTTGGTGCAAATTGCATTATTCTTCATACACAATCACATGGTTTTGTTTGAGAGAGATGGATTCCCAGAGGCTAGTGCTGGCAGCAATTTCCATGTTAGCCCAATATGCGTGCATTACAGGTTTCAAAGCAGAGAGTCAGCAGGTGTGACAGGAGATTTTTAAAAAGTTGAAATGTATCTCATGGTTTAAGAATGTGTGAATGAAAGAGTTCCTCTGTGAGTAATTACAGTGCTCAAAGGAAATAGAGCTCACAGATAATAGAAAGACCAGTACACTAACTGCCTGCAGTATTAAACAGTTGGTTCAGTGGGGAGATTGGAATCACTGAATGTACTGATTCAATGGTAGATACATTCTGTCTTTTAACAAAGATAATGTATGTTCTTGTTCGATGTTACATTTGAGAGATGGGTCTTTAATTGCTGAGGCAGGCTAAAAGTGTGTGTGTTTGGGTGTGTGGCGTGCGTTTGTAGGTAAGGAATGATGAGATATCTTTCTAATAATGGAAAGATTTGAAATCTCCATACATTTCCTCTGTATTTTTGAGACGAATATAAACAAGTTAGAAGTTGTAACGAAAGTGCCTTTCAATACTATAGCCTTTGCAGAAAACATATTTGGAAGCCATTTAGTCATGCACTCATGTTTTTTTCACAGTGAAACATAGTATAAAGCTGAACATAATGGCAAGGAGCCATGTGAGAAATGTGCTCTTTCTTTTCCTGCCTCTTATTATGATCCGCACCTTTCTACTTTGACATTGGGC